CCAGTGGGGTCTGGAAGGAGGGAACACATATATCCCAGGAGAAGCAAGTGCCTGCACAGGCCAGCTGGTCCCAGCAGACGGGATCCACCTTTACCAAGAACTTTTTCTGGGCCAGGCATCCTACACATGGCATCTTACTGTCTCTGTATCACCATCTTGACATTGTTTCCATTTCACAGATGGAAAAACTGAGGACTGGGGAACAGCTGCCCAGGGCACCCCACAGATGACAGAGTCAAGCTATTCTACTTTATTCCAAAGCTCTTTCCATTCCACATTTGAGGCACCAGCTCTGGATTCCCCTATCATCTAAAGATGGATGGCATTTCAAGGGAAAGCATTTGAGAACTGCTCCCATGGAGTTGTGACCGCAGTGGTACACCAGGCAACAAGAAACCCAGCATATTCACCAGCGGAGAAACTGAGTCATGAGCCAGTGAGTGGATATCAGGGATGGCAGCCAGGAGCCTGACAGCCAGGTGGCTTAGCATCGCAGCTAGACTCCATCCTTTTTGTTTTGGTTTTTGGTTTTTTTCCGGTACCGGCAATGGAACTCACGACCTTGCGCTTGCCAGGCAGGCGCTGTGCCGCTGAGCTAAACCCCCAGTCCCTTAGACTCCATCCTTGAGGTCTGTGACACGGAGCTCCCTGCCCTCCCCCATCACCAGTCTGCATGGTTTGGGTCTCTGGCAAGAAATACCCTGGTCCAAACACAGACGCTGACTATGTATCCACCAGCTCTGAGGTGGGAATTAGAGCTGCAGGATCCTGGGCAAGTTACTCAGCCTCCGGATCTCTGCTATGGCAATAGTCCTCACTTCAAAGGGGTGTTGCAAGTGCCGAGTGCTTGTGGCAAGTCTTCCACGTCAGAGTGTGGCATTCGGTGTGGAAATCGGGACAGAGTGGCTCTGGTGTCGCTGAGGGGAACATGCTCCCAGCACCCATGCCACCCACCCTACCCTACTCATTCACCCCACACATAGATGGGAGCACCAACTGTGTGTGAAGCACACGTCCCAAGCGCCTAACACCGGCCAAGCTCCGGGCTGCACAGAAGTGGGCCCCGCTCCCCTCCCCATGGCCTTCTCCCCTGCCTGCCCCGCCTCCCTCCGCCCAGTCCCAGCCCGTCCCAGTTTCTCACCTCTACCTTCCACCTGCAGCACCGACCCCACCTCCGCTCCCCGCCCTCCACCCCCGGGCGCCCCATCCCAGCCTGTCTGTGCGCGGCCGCCACACTCTGTCCTCCATTTCACTCCCGCTCCCCAGCCTCTTTCCATCTCTTCTCTGTCCCCTCTTTCTCTGCTCCATCCTCAAGCTCCACCCCACTCCCACCGCATCCTCATCTCCCCCGTCTCCTTCCCACTTCCCACCTTTCCCTGCCTGTGATTCCTTGACCCCCGTCTCCATTTCTCTGCTTCCTCATCCCGGGCCCCAGGACTCCTCCCATCCCAATGACAGAGGTTCAGGGGTCCCGATGGAGGAGGGGACACCGCCCCCAGAGGCCACTACGGGAAGGTGCATTCCAGGGGATGAGCCCCCAATCCCCGGGGCTGCTGCGGCCCCAGCACCTGCCGTGGGCAGAGTCTCCCCTTGGGCTGGAGTGGGGAGCGCTGACTGAGCCGCAGGCGAGCTGTGCACTCCCCGCCCCCAGCGTCCCTCTCCTCTGGGCGGGCCACCACGCTGGGACCTCGGCCCACAGCCTGGCTCCTCACGCGGCTGCTGTTTTATTAACCTGCCTGTCGCTGCTCTCACCACTGAATAGGGCCTGTGGGGGGGCCTGGAAGGGGGGCCCTGGGCTTTGCCGGGGATCACCATGGAAACAGCAGCCTCGGCCAATCAGCGGGCTGGCAGCACCGAGTGCAGCGGGCAGCTCGGTCTCTGAAGCCTCGTGCAGCCCGCAGGCTGACTCCTGCCTGACAGGCCCCGCACAGCCCCTGCCTGCCGAGGAGAGGATAAAAGGGGGGACGAGACCCTCGGGGAAGGGGCCTTGGCAGTGGAGTGGGTGTCAGGGAGTGTGACGCCAGGGGTGCTGAGGGTTGGACTGGAAGAGGAGGAGAGGCCAGGGAAAGTGGTCAGAAACACTTGGCGTGGGCATGTGGAGGCAGGGCTTCAGGGGCTGTCTGGGGATGGGGGCCGAACTTCTCCCCAGCGGCAGCTCTCTGTCTAAGCTAGAATTTCTCAACCTCCACACCACTGGCATTTGAGGCCAGGAAATGCTCTGTCATGGGGGCTGCGCCTCGCAGGACGCCTAGCCGCATCCTGGGATTCCGCCCACTAGGAGCTATCCTCTCACTCCCCTAAAGTGTCTCCCGACATTGCAAAATGTCTCTGGGGGCAGCGGGACCAAAACTGTCTGGTAAAGAGCCACTGGGCTACAGGCTTAGGGGCCAGTGGTCACTATTGGTGAGTTGCTGTCTTTGAACTGAGTTCCCCACGAAAAGCCGGAAGTGGGAGTGGAAGAGAGAGGAGGAGGAGGAGGAGGAGGAAGAGGCTGGAGCCCAGGGCAGGGTTTGAGCAGAGGCTCTGGAAGCAGAGATGAAACAGAGAGACGCCCTGGGGCCGACTCAGCTGGTTTGTACAGCAAGGATTAAATAAAATAAGGTCTCTAAATGCCTTTCCCCACTGAGGCTCCTCCTGTCTGTAAACCCTTCCCAGCCTGCTGCGTCAGGCTCACAGCCTTCCTCCCGTGAGGCTTCCAGTAAGCACCACATCCAGGAAGCCCACCCTGGCTCTCATCACATCAGCATCTTCTTTTTTCCCGGGACTTCTTGGCACTTTGCTTCTGCTACACATGGCTTCACTTTTAACAATAGTTACCCGATTGAAGCCAAGTGTCAGGGCATACTCTAGGAGACTGAGGCAGGAGGACTGTAAGTTTGAGCCCAGCCTGGGCAACTCAGCAAGAACCTATGTTTAAAAAAAAAAAGTTACCTTTTTCAGGGTTTCCCATGTACCAGAACCTAATGACTTGAAGCACATTTTCTCACTTAACCCTTCAACTCCATGAGCTTGGTACCATTATCATGACCATTTTACAGATGAGGAAACTAAGGCTCAAGTTACAAAATTTGCCCAGAGTTACTCAGCTGGTTAGAAGTGGGCTTCAGACCCAGGCTATCAGGACTGCACTATGCACGTTTCTAACCCTTTTTTGTGCTGGGTAGGCGTGCACCGCCCCATATTCATAATCCCTTGCAATGCCCACACATGCTGGTGAATGGCAGGTTCCTCTGAGCTCATTGGTCTCTGAGAAGTCCGGGTGGGCAGGTAGGCATCAGGCCTGAGAAGGCTGGCACTGAACTGGCAGCCCCAGGGTGCTGATCCCCTTCAAGGCCAGCAGGTTTTGCCAGAGCCGGAGCGTGGTTTAGCTCCGCCAGCTCCATGAAGGGCTAGAACCACCAGGCCACATATCAGCCACACCCCTTCACTGGGCCACCTGGGTCTCCAGGACTCAACTGTCCTGGAGATCTCGCGGATGTTGGGCCATGGCCCCCCCTAGTGGCCAAAAGGCCAAGATGGAGGCAGCAGTGGTGGGAGTCAGGTTGAACAGAGCCTCCCCGGGCTTAAGACTCAGCTCTGTTCCCAGGCTCCAAGGTACTTCTGGGAGGTTAGAGCCAGAGGGAGGCCTCAAGTAACTGTTGTTGGGGAGTCCGACCCCTAACCTAGGCCTAAAGGGCAAAACCAACCCCCACCCTCCGCCTCCCCTCCCCCTCCAGCCCGACTGAAGAGGAGGGATGGTGTCAGTGGAGTGTTTCCATCGCAGCTCCCCCTAACACTGCCTCTGCAGACTCCACCCCCACCCCTGCCTTACAGTCAGCAAGAGAGGGCTTGAGGCTGAGGGGCGTCTGCCAGGAAGCATCGCGTGATGCCACTTCCTGATCAGGTTAGGGTTTTGATCTGGAATCCAAGAGCTGGAGTCCCAGGGGGCTCGCATCAGAACTGCTCCCTGCACACTCCACCCGCCTCCCCCAGGAACCTGCAACGCGCCACCTAGCCTGCCTTTGAAGGCAGGGCTCCTGACAGGCTGCTGTTCCCATGGCAACCCCATCCCAGCCTGCCCTACCCAGTGCTTCCCTCCATCCCCTTCCTCCACCCTGAACCCACAGCACCTTCATTCACAGAATGAGAACTGCTTCACATCAGCAAAGCGGACACCCCTTCCCCCAGCCCTCTCTCCATCCCGTTGCTTCTCCCTCCCCTCATTCAATAGACAGCCGTGAACCACAGAGAAATGGGTGGAAAGAGTGAGATAGGAACAGGGCTGAATTAGAGCAGATGGAGGATTACGGTAGAAATGGGAAGGAGCAGTGGCTGAGCACATTCCACCCCCTTGTGGTCCCCCAGCCCTGACCTCTGCCCTTCTAGTTCTCAGCTCTGTCTCAGTTCATGGCTCCGTGCTTTTCCCATTTCCTGTGAAGACCCAAGGCCCAGACAGGTTCCCTGAGGAGCCCCCGCCCCAAGCACATAGGACCAGGTCTCAGCTTCCAGGTCCAAGTCTTCTCCCCAGCACCAGCCAAACTCACTCAGAGGCCAGAGGCAATGGCTGGACGCTAGATCTGAGCCCAGAAGCACCCAGGCTGCTCCCAAGCCTGGCCCCGGTGCCCCTCCTGCCTAAGACACCACTTTGTGAGGATGGCTGGGGATGGAGAGGACACCATTTTACAGTGCAATTGTGGGAAGGGCTGGAGAGGAGCCTCAGACCCCAACCCTGGCCGAACAACAACTCTTCTGGCTGGGAGTACTTGGCTTTCCGGGCTTTGGCAGGTGCTGTCGGAAAGTCAGGAGAGGCCTGCTCAGAACCTGGCGGTCCATCTCTGCAGGAGGCCCTGAGCAATGGTCAGCAGCTCAGCCTCAGAATCAACCAGCCTGGGCTTGAATGATAGAGTTCTCATTCATTCATTGTGTGATGCTTACCTTCTCTGAGCCTTGACTTCCGTCTGAAAAATGGAGATAGTAATTACATACAGCAAATGACTAACAGAAGCCCTACATCCCTTCAGACCCAGCGCTTGCGACGCGTTATTTCACTTAATCCTCCTGACCGCACAGAGCGGCAGATACTATTATTGCTGTGTCCATTCTACAAATGGGAGGTGGAGGCTCGGAGATGTTCCAGTGGGAGGGCAGAGCAGAGCCTTAAAGGGAGGCAGCATCCGAGGAGGTACGCAGGGCCCGGCAGCTGGCAAGTCAGTGACAGGGGGGATGTGCTCTTTGGGAGCCTCTGTGACCTAAGTTGGGGCTTATGTCTCCCTGGCTTTGCTCCGTGGACACACGGCCCCACCGGCCCACCACGCCAGACCAAGGAGGGGCCCAAGCTCGGTGAGACAGGGGACGTGGTACTGACGGGAAACAGCAGAGCCGCGCGCGACCCTCCAGCCAGCCCTTCCACGTGGGAACGGCAAGCAGGTGAGGCCTCGAGGAGGAAGTGACCCGTCCAACATCCCCTGCGGATGGACCGCCTCCGCCGGTCGGCAGCTTTGAAAACCGCGTCAAGGTCCTAAGCGACATGGTCCGAAGCGTCAAGGTCCAAGCGTCCAGGGCATAGAGCCTGGGGCAGGGTAGGAGGGAGAGCGAACTTCCCGCTGGGGGAGCTGCCCGGGTTGGAGTTCCAACCTACCCAACCAGACTTGCCGCCCTGCTACCGCCCAGGTGGGCCCAGCCCCGGGCTCTCCTGCTTCCCCTCCCCCAGAAGCTCGGGTCCGAGCAGCCCCGCCCCTCCAGAACCTCGGCGGGGGCGCAGCACCTCCTCCCACCCCCCACCTTGAGAGAATGAGCCGAACAAACAGCATTGTTCCCACACACAATGGACACAAAGAACTAGGGAATTCACAGAATGGTCCTGAATTTCAGCTTCCTTCCCCTCCAAGCCCTAGAGAGATCCATTGTCTGTAAACTCCACTTAAAATACGCACCGCTGCTCCAGCTGGGGAGCCACTTAAGACGCTCGGAAGAGCCTCCCCGCCCCCTCCCCTTCCCTCCCTTCCCTTCCCTTCCCCCTCCCTTCCAGGTCTAGCAGAGCCGGGCGGGGAGCGGGGGGCCGCCACCTAGAGGCCCTGCCCCAGCCGAAAGCTGAAAGCGACCATGTCCCCTCGGGACCACTCGGTGGAGCCCGTTTTACAGCTGAAAAGGCCCACTTTGGGTGGGTTGAGGGAGCCGGTCCGCTGATGGTCCGCTAAGCCCGTAATTTAGTGCTGAAAGGACACCTGTTTACAGACCTCCAAGGACGGGGAACTCACTACCTCGCAAGGAGTCTGTTTATTCCTGAAAAGTGATCGCTCTTCAGGCCTTAGTAAGAAAGAGCCCCTCCCACTTCCCCTACGGTCCAGTCCTTCTCTTCCCGCTCTGGCTCCCACCTCACCGGTCTTCCTCTGACATGTGATGGGCTCTTGGAATTTGAAGGCTGCCAGAGTATCTACCTGGGGTTCCCCTGCCATACCTGAACAACTCTGCCCTCCTTTCCCAGACACTGTTAATTGGTCGTGTGGAGACCTTCCCCATCTCTTCCCCTCCTAGGTGCTGCCCTGTTGTGTCCCTGGGTCTGGACGGTGCCCAGAGCTGAACCCAACACTCATGAATACTTACTCAGCAAGTTATCCGTTAAATGCCTTCCAGGCACTGGGCGCGGTGCTTGGAGGTAGGGATCAGAAAAGATCCCAGCTGGGGTATGGTGGAGCACCTGTATCGTCCTAGCACTCTGGGAGGCTGAGGCAGGAGGATCAAAACTTCAAACTCAGTCTGGAGCATTTAACTTAGTGGGGCTCTGACTTTAAAGAAAAGAAAGAGAAAGAGAAAGAAAAAAAGATTGCTGGGATGCAAAGACCCTGGGTTCAATCTCCAATACAAAAAAAGGAAGAAATCCAGAGATATAGCTCATGGGCAGCGCAGGGCCTGCTGAGCAAGCACAAGGTTGATTTCCATTCCTGGTACCAAAAACAAACACACACACACACTCACACACAAAAAGGAAGAGGAGGGGGAGGGGAAGGGGGGAGGAAGAAGGAGGAGAAAGAGGAGGAGGAACAGGCCAACTCTCCTGAGCTTTGTAATTCTGATAGGGAAGGTCAGATACTAATATCAGATAAGCATGGTAATCTGACTATAAGAACTTGGTAAAATGAAAGCATCTGACAAAAGAATCTGATCAGTGTAGAGGGGAGAGGATTAGCCCACCCACAGGCTTCCTGAGATCTAAAGGAAGGAGGATTTAACTAGAGAGGAAGGGATAGGGCAGAATTTGAGATAGTGGGGAGAGACTGTGCAAAGGCCCTGTGGCAGGAGGAAGGTGGCCTAAGACCAAAGAAACCAGTGAGACTGGTAGCCAGAGGGGCATGAAGTGGGCTTCTAGGCCTCAGTGAGGAGTGTGATGTGATTCTAAAAGGCAGTGAAAAGACACAGGTGTGTGTGCAATAAAAGCTGACTGACATTTGCCCTACAAAGATACAGATCCCTGGAATTGCTGGATGCTAAGCAGTTCCTCCATGTCTTTGCACTTGCTGCTTCCTCTACCAGGTTGCTGTTTCCAGGTTTTTCTGAGGTTGATTATGTTCTGATTGGTCAGGTCTTTGTTTAAGCCCCCAAACTTAAAGGCACTTTCCCTGTACGTGCTGTCACACTCTATCCCTTTAACTTGTTTCATTATTTTTATAGCATGTCTCCATCTGAAATTCAATTATTTATTTCTTTGCCTGCTGACTGTTACTCTCTCCCCTCACTAGAAATTAAGCTCTTTATGGTTAGAAATTTTGCCTAGTCATTAAATTTGCATGCTTTGACTCTATTGGTTGGAATGAGATGAGTCAGGAGGCAGGGATACAGAAGAACAGAGGACCAACTTGGCCCAGAGAATGTCCTCAAGTGGCCGCCATCCCCAGCCAGGGTAGCCAGTTCAGTAAAAGTGCCCGGTCCCCAACCCCCAGTCATCCAACTTTCGTAGAGTTCTGTTTGGGAACTAGAGAGGGACACCTACAGGGCAGGAACTGTGTCTCTTAATGATGACCACACTGGGACCAGGGATATAGCTCAGTGGCACAAGTGCCTGCCTGGCAAGCATAAGGTCCTGAGTTTGATTCCTGGTACCAAAAAATAATAATAATTATTATTATTATTGGGGATATAGCTCAGTGGCATAAGCTCCTGTCTGGCAAGCGCAAGGTCATGAGTTCGATCCCTGGTACTGCAAAAAATAAAAAATAAAAAATAATGACCACACCGGTGGCTTAGTGTTAACACATAGTAAGACCTCAATAAATAATACATGGGTGAATTTCTGAGTGCGCTCCAAGATAAAAGGACTGGTATTTGCCCACAAAGACACATATAGAAATGAATAGATAGCCAAGTGGAGTAGCACACGCTTATAATCCCAGCATTTGGGAGGCTGAAGCAGGAGGATCACTGCAAGTTTAAGGCTAGACTGGGCTACATACAAAGTGAGTTCAAGGCCAACCTGAACTACATAGTGAAACCTTATCTCAAAAAGACAAACACACACAAAAGAAATGAATAGTTACTTTTATATGTGTTTTTGTGCAAGTGTTTAGGTGCCCGGTAACTCAGAGATCTCCCTCGCCAGTAAGAACCACCCCTTGGGGGCTAGAGGCAAGGCCTGTGCATTTCACTGTACCAGCTGCACTAATTAGTACCCATGCCCTGCGGCTGGACAAGAAGGACCTGAACAGTCAAAGATGAGGGTGGGATTTTAAGTGCCCTAGCAGAGGGCAGTGGAAAGCCACGGGTCCATGTTGCCTAAAGCTGTAAACCCCTCCCAGGTCATTTCCCACCTACCTCACCCTCCTCCCCCACCCACCTCTCGTTGTTCCCTGTGTCTGCTTTACTGGGAATGGCTAAACTTGGCATCATACTGGGTCCTAGCGTCATATGGGGTCAAACCTGGCATCACAATCTCCTCAATAGAGATTAGAAGTTAGTGGGATTTCCCAGGGTTTGGGAGTTTGAGTAGCCAGGTGACTTCTTATTTCATTCATTCATTCATTCATTCATTCATGCTAAGGACTGAACTCAGGGACTCGTGGATGCTAAGTATATGCTCCACCATTGAGCTATACTCCCAGGCCTGGGAAACTTTTCAAAGGCATTTGCTAATCAACGGAGTGCCCACTAACTATAAAACATGACTAGGAAGCTGGGCATGGTGTTGCATGCCTGTAGTCCCAGTACATGGGAGGCTGAGGCAAAAACGTCTCACCACAGGTTCCACGCCAGCCTGGACCACACAGTGAGTTCAAGGTCAGCTTGAGCTACATAGTGAGACCCTGTCTCAAAACACAACACAACACAACACAACAAAATCCCAAACCATGACTAGGAATGGTCAGCCTTATACATAATAGCTGGTTCAGGGAAGATTATGAAAAAATTATTTAGAAGGAAACCTTAGCTGTATAATCTTCGTATTCCTAGAGTACATGTTGGGTGGGGTTAATTTCTAGGCAAGAGCTCTGGGATAGCTTACTGGAGTATTTAAAATAATGATCACATTGGTAGAGCACTAACTCAGTATTACATGGATTTTCTCATTTAATCTTCATGCTAAGCCTCTGTGTGTGGGTGGGTGTGTTTGCTGTTATTCCATTTACAGATTGGCACACTAAGTCTCAGGGAGGTTAAGCAGCTTGCTCAAATTTTCCACAGCTATTAAGTGGCAGAGTAGATTTTCAAACTCAAAAGAAGGCTCCAGAGCTCCTGCTCATAATCATGCTGGTGGCCATAACTGTGCTAGAAGCAAGAGTGAGACTGGGTTGGGCAGATGGGAGTTTATTCTAGAAAGAGGACGCAATTTGAGCAAATGCTGACAGGCAATGCTGCCAGATGTTTGTTTGTTTGTTTTAAATTTATTGATACAGCCAGGCATGGTGGCACACACCTGTAATCCCAGCACTTGGGAGGCTGAGGAGGCTGAGGCAGGAGGATTACCATGAGTTCAAGGCCAGCCGGGGCTACATAGTGAGTTCAAGCCTTGTCTGAACTACATGGTGAGACCTTGTCTCAAAAAAGATAAAAAAAGTTTATTAGTACAATTTAGATTTACACAATGATCACATTCATCATAAGGAATTTGTACCTATAAGTGGTATCTCCTGTTTCCTCTTTTTTTCCCCAATCCCCTCCCCTCCCCTTCCTTCAATCCCTCTTCCCCTCCTCATTTACAAAGCTTTGTTTGCTTTAAAAAAAAAAAAAAGGGTCAAATGTTTTTAAAATCTCTGGCTGGGGGTCTGGGGATTTAGCTCAGTGGCACAGCGCCTGCCTTGCAAGCCTGAGGTCGTGAGTTCAATTCCCGGTACCAGAAGAAAACCAATAAATAAATAAATAAATAAATAAAATCTCTGGCTGGGCTTGGTGGCACAACTGGGTGTGGTAGGACACACCTAAGATCTTAGAACTCTGGA